TGGGGAAGAGCCAAACTCATGTCCTGTCAGTAGCAATTGGCAAGCAGCTATGTATAGGAAGGCCAGCCTCCTGCTTGGATTGTTTCCCATTTTTAAAAATCAGCTTTTTCAGACTGCAGTGTGATAAGACAGGAGCTTCGCTTTGGCACCTAGAGGAATTTCAGGGTTTGAGGGAGATGCCTGTTTTGCAATTAACAGGGTACTTTCTTCCCTTCTTTCCTCTCAGAAATTTCCCTCTCCCTGGGAAATCTGGGAACATATCTGAAGCTGCCCTAGTTTACATACTTGGGTTTGAAGCCTAGCCTGGGAGTATCTGTATAGGCACATTAGTGGATGTACTTGTGAGTTAATGATGCTCTGTATTTTCCCAAGACCATGTTAACGATCATGTTATCTTCACAGAGGCTGCAATGGAGAGAGATCGTTACATGAGCCCAGTGGAGGCCCAGGAATTTGGCATCTTAGACAAGGTGCTTGTCCATCCTCCGCATGATGGCGAAGATGAGCCGGAGCTGGTACAGAAAGAGACTCCGCCTGTACCTTCTGCCTCTTCTTCCTCAGCTGAACCCTGAGGGATCTGTAGGCTTGTTTAGATGCGTTGTGGCATCATGGATTATAACAGTGATGTCAGCCCTTCGAAGTGGAAATGGGGGCTGGTTTGTCAAACTCACTGTGATTGCCAGGGAATGTCCATCTAAATGGTTCTTCTCTTAAGGCATGCTCCATGGGAAACCAGGCAGCAACGTTTATTGGAACCGGTCTCTTGACTTTTTCTCTCTGGGATCCAGTTGTTACCCTATCTGTGTTTCTTTTCCTAATTCACAATATTCTTTAAATAGTTTTAAATTAAACCTTGGCCTATATGGTGTGGACATTCTTTTTTTAAAGAAATCTTTCTTTCTAAAAGGATACTATCCTATGTAAAAGCCTACCTTGAGGATTTTTCCATTTCTGGGTGTGCTGTATAGCCAGTTTAAAAATACAACTTGTGGACAAAAACTATTCAGGCCACAAGTTGCAAAACAGACCATTTGCACACATGTTTGTAGCAAATAATTTTTTCCAACACCTTCTTAATTAACTTTGTCACTTGCTCTCTAGCTGTTCCCTTTTCCTGATTCCCAGCTGTTGTCCAAACTTCACCCCTACCAAATAAAGATATTGCAGCTGGAATATGGTTCTAATTTGATTTTATAATCCTCTGTCACAGTGCTCATGTAAATCAGGTATATTTTCCTATAAGTGCAAGTAAGGCTTTTATGAAGCGGGGTGTGTTTATTAGATCCTGAGCATTGATTCTTGTGGCTTATGTAAGTAAGTATGTGGGGAGTTGTGCAGATGCTCACAGTTCCCCAGGAAAGAACAGAAAGAATTGTTAGTTCCTTCTTTGTTCCTGTGGCATCAACCACAGTGGTTCTGTCTGGCACTTGTCATTCCTAAGTGAAAATTGAAAAAATGTTAATTCTGTTTAGTTGAGCTGCAATCCTGCATGGTCATACAGTCGTCCTAAGCTGCTGTGAAAATAAACCATTTCGTTGGCAAGGATAGATAAAGGCAAGTTGGCCAATCAACTACTAGGACCCCGGTTTTTGGTTACACATGCAGAGTTTGTATACAGCACTAAGCCACAAGGTGGATTGTTTAGTTTTGACTTGATATATTGTACAAACTCAACCAGTTACTGTGATCAGCTATGAATCAAAGTTTAACATGATACAGGAACAAGGTCCTAGATGAGTATTTGTCTCTGGATATATTACATCAAGCTGTTGCAAAATACAGCTGTGTAACAGAATTTTCTGGCTGTACTACTGGTCTTTGGGGAATTGTGCAAGGGAAGTTAGCCGCTTTTCCAACCTTGGGCCCATGGATGTTCTTGGAGTACAGCTGCATGGCCAGTGATCATGGGTAGTAAGTGGTTTAGTCCACTGATAACAGGGAACCCAAGTTTAGAAAAGCTGGATCTCAACAATTCATGCTGCAAATTGGGGAGCTTAAGTTTCATTTTAAATATTATCTGAGGTTTCTGATGTTCTAACGCAGGTGTAAAATGGGAGGTGGGAAGTTTAGAAAGGGCTTTCTAAGTGATAGCACCCTGACTGTACTGATCTCCAGGGACTTGTCTGGCATCTGTTTGACCCCAAGCAAAATGTGTTCATTTCTTCAGGCTTTTTAACCTATTAGTTTTATATCTTACCTTTCATTTAGAAGCCCAAGGCACTGTACACAGTATTTCCTCTTTTGATTTACACAACACAACAGCCCTGTAAATTGGGCTCATCCTGTGAGCCAGGACTTCCTTAGTCTTAACCCCTGTACACACTGCATCTTGCTTAATTGGTTTCCAGTATTTATGATCCTTATTTCTGCCAGGTGGTTTATTCTTTCCCTATTAAAAGACAGGGATAAGCAGTTATTTAAAATAAGTGAATAAATTTCACTTAAATAAAGTTATTTAAAATAAGTGAATAAATAGAGGGGAGGGCATCTGGTAGTCTAAAGATAAGGCCATTCATTCTCATCTCAGGTTGCTCTAAGTTTAAAGCAGTGATAACTGACTTGACTCTCTTCCAAGTCAAGCCTTCCGCAAATTCAATCATTGAGCAAAAGGGTTTCTCACAACTGTCGCTTTGGTTTCCTTGCAGTAGAGCAGATTGTAAAAAGGCCGAGGTTCCTCCCTCCCCAAGTTGAAGGAAGAGAATAAGAAGGTTGTTGTTTTCACGGTTTATCTATCTCAAATCGCAGATACCTAGCAAATCGATGTTGTGGAACTACACATCCCAGCATGCTTTCAAGAGCAGAATTCCCCCCCGAATTCGGATTTCATCCAATAGCGAGTCGCGCGGCAGAGGGGCGGGGACTTTAGAAAAGGCGTTCGAGGGAAACTTAATTGCGGGCGCCGGGTCTCGGCTGATTGACAAGAGGACGGCGTGGTGGGCTTTTTCGCCAGCCGGTGCTGGCTAAATTATTGCTACAGTCATTTCTGTGGTTTAACTGTTTTAATTACATATAGTTATAGTTTTCTCTGGACAGTTTATAAGCGTAGGTTATTTGGAGAACGAGGCTTATCAGCGGTGGGTCTAGATCTTTTCTTCATTCAGTCTTTCATTCTAGTATTTGTGTGTGAGAGAGGACTGAGAAAAGCGAATATGACTGAATAAGGTTGCTTAACTGGGTGAATGTGATTGTGACTGCTGCCACAATTGTGCTAAACTAGAATGTAGCTAGCTTGTTGTGGTTTGTGGTAAACCCAGCCAATTATGTTTTCATAAACTATGGTTTAAAAACCTGTGGTTTAGTGTGATGTCAACTCCTTATGGTTGAGTTGGCTATGGAGATGTACATGTGCAAGACAGGGAAACAGTGAATGGTTTCTGCCCCTCAAATTTTGGCCGGGGTGTTTTAGAGTTGGGCCTTTTCATGCACAGATCAGAAGAAAGACACATGTATTAAAGAAAAATACAACTTTCAAAAGTTTTAGCCACTGCATTCCAGTATATAATGTGTCTCTCACGTTTTTGGAGAGAAGAAAAGCACCAATCACATGTAGATCCTTTAATATTTGTTCTCCCAAGTTAATAAAATAGTTGGAAAAGATGGCAATCGTGTTTGATGCAGAGAAAGAATGATCAGATAAGGAGGCTGAGGAAGGTCTGGATACTGTTTGCTCATGTTTTTGCCTTGTAAAATTGTAAAAGTTGGGATGTAAATACATTAAATAATAACATCAGCATATAGTATGATCAATATACATGCTGTCCTACAGCAGAGTGCTGTACATTCAAAGGAGACCTGTCACTCTGGATAGTTTAAATCATATCTGTGATAAGCGTAAGTGATATGTCTGCTATGACATATGATAATCTGTTCAGTGAAGATGGCTCTCCTTTGAACATACTCTGCTGTATCACTGCATAGACTTTGATGCTATTGTTTAATGCAGTGTTTCTCAACCTCAGCAGGTTTAAGATGTGTGGACTTCAATTCCCAGAACTCCCCAGCCAGCAATGCTCCTTGAGTTAACATTTCCTCTTCAGCAGTTGCATCACACTGCTGACCTTGTGTTCATGCTTAACTTATGGTTACATGGAGATCCAGATTCCTTTCATATGTACTACTGCCAGTCCAGGTCTCTCTCCTGTACTTTACATTTTTCCCTGTTAAATTCCACCCTATTCATTTCAGCTCACTGCTCAAGCCTCTTTAGATCTTTTTGAACCTTTTCTCTTACATCTAAAATATTAGCCACCTCTCCCAGCTTTGTGTCATTTGCAAACTTATACATTTGATAGAATGCTTTGCCAAATGTCCTGGAAAATTCTCTTCATAATGGATCTTTAGCTAAATTCCAGAAAATGTACCTTGTACAAATGCATACTCTCTTAAAGTTCTTCTCTTTACTAATAACCAACATTTTAGAAATAAAACAGGGCAATGCAGTGAGACCCAGTAAAGCCATATCAGCAATTAGTAGTAATTACAAAAATTGGATATATTTAAGTTGCTACAGTAGGTCTTGAAGAGATTTGATGCCTGATTCTTTGCTCATCTGACATGCTGCAGAGGAATGTAAGAATTTCTTGCTTTTTTAAAGGTATCTGAATAAACGCTAAGGAGAAAATGGAATCTTTGAGCACTCCAGGCACACCAAGAACAGAGCTGTTAGCAGGTACTGTTTAATCCCAATTGGAAAGGCATTTTAGGAGCAAATATTTGTTAATGTTTAATTCTTCATCAATGCTTGCTAATTTTGTCAATTTCATTTCACTCTTCCTTTTTGAAGTGGAGAGCAATGCATGCTGACTGCCCTGTCCTTAGAATAATCCAGGGAGACTGACTGATACTTTGCAGCATGTTAAGCTTCTAGAGGAGTAGTCATGTTAATCTGTTGTTGCAGAAATATGTACACTAGGTTCACACTATATATAGTGTGGGTGTTTGAATACAGTATGTTGTTAAAACCAGCTGTTGAGATTAGTGAACCATAGTTTATGGATGAACAAGTTGTAGGAATCCAACCAGTTGTGGTTTATTTGGTAAGTCATGGCTGAATGTGATGTATGAATCCAGTTGTTAAACATCAACACTCCAAACACAGGCGTTGACTGAACAGAGGTTTGAGTTTGGGTGTCCATAATCCTTGTTTGACAATCTGCTACTACAGCAGGTTGACTTTTGTGCTTGCTGCTTTATGGCCACCGACTCCTCCTCCTCCTCCTCCAACAAAAAGGGGTGTCACCGAAGTGTCTGCATTATTGTAGTGGGGAAGGAAGCCTAGTCCAATTATTGGAAAGCTTGGAGTTATAGCTCTGCCCTGAACTACAATTAGTTGTGGGAATGCAGTTGTTCTTTCCACATTCCCTTGATTTGAGCTCAGCTCTTGATTAATTTCATAGACATGTCTATATAATTTTCACAACAGCAATACAGAAGTGATTTGCTGTTACGTACCTCCTTAGGGGATATTTTTCAACTGTCCAACCTAGCTTACAACCCTGAGTTTGTGGACTTCCATCCAAGGGCTAATTAAATGCTTAGCATTTTGAAAGGGGAATCACTAAAGTTTGCTGGGTGCTGCCATCTGCTGTGCTGTCTGCATCAGTACGTAACTCTCATCACTGAAATGGTATAGCTATGCCTGTGTAAGTGGATGGCTTGCATTCAGGCCTGCCCTTGGTTGTATATTAGTGCATAAATATGTGGAACAATTAATTGGGTGTGAGAAAGTTGCCATGGCATTGCTCTTCCCTACTCTGAGTCATTAGAAAATATTTCCTTTCTTCTGTTTAACAAAGTTTTATGAGTGGTACCCCAACTATGATATTGGCTCTCAATGTCCCTTGGCTCCTCTTTCTTCTTAATTGTCATAACCCCATTCAAACTTTTTGTAATTTTGTTTGTCCTTTTTCCTCGGAGATGAACAGTGCTTCATAGGCAAGTATATAGGTGAGCTGGGCCTTTCATCAGCTGAGTCTGTCATCAGTCCAGCCTGCCTCACTGACTCTTTGGAGCTACAGGGAAGCCTTCATGATTTAGACAATGTTGTCTGCTGGAGTGATAACGTGGATCACTGTATCTCCTACCTCAGTAAGGTAGGCATCTTCTGGGCAGGGAAGAGGATGTGTGAAAAGGCATCAAGCCTTGCTGATATGTCCTTCCACTGCCTTTTCTGCTGTTCCTTTGATTCTGTC